ATACTTAAAATGGTTATTACTTTTGAAAAGTTGTTATTTTGAAAGGGAATACCAGTTAAAAGCACTCATTGTGTTATCATTCAAATTCATAAAAACATTTAAGGCATAATAATTTTAAGTATTTTTTACTCAAATCTATTTATAAATTGTTTTATATGTTTAATTCATTTAAAATCATTTTTAAATAGCATATTTGTTTTATACCTACAGTATACTTTCATTATTACCCATAATTACTATTATTGTTTATGGTTTACATTTTCAAGAATATAATGGAAAGAATTATTTATTAAATAGTATTTTTTCAAACATATTATTAATTACTAATAATATTGATATTTCAAATGAAAACAAGAAATACGATAATTATATGAATCATTAATCATGAATGTAATGGACATTTAATTTTAGTCAATGTTTTATATATTCATTCAATTGTTGACATTTTTGTTCGTGTTGTGAAGATTTTTTGTTATATGTATAATGTTATTATATTACAATTTACTTTTATTATACTCTAATAATTTAAACAAAATTCTAAATTAATAGTTGTTTTTTGACACATTATTCAAGTATTGCTCGATTAACGCATTTATTTTCGCATAAAATTTTAATTAACTTTTAAAAGAGTGTTTATTAGTATTAACAGTGCATTAATGAGCAAGGTCACTTTCATATGCCAACGTTAATTCAGTTGTTTTAACAGTCGTTTACAACATATCAATTGGATGTTCATAATTATTATCGATATATTTGGTCAAATACTACTGATTTTGGTGTATATTTTCTCTCAACTCAATTCAATGATAATGTGAGCACCAAATGAAGCATTTATTTGAATATATTTTACATTATATGTCACAAACAAATTGCTTCACTATATATCAGTACATTATTTTCACATAAAGTGTTTAAAATTTAAATGTCGTTAATTGATTTGATTATTATTTTACAATAGAGTAATATTGTATAAAAATACTAACAAATGCAATGCAAATGTAGTATTTCTATGACAATTGAGTGGATTAGGAGATCATGAATTGGAAATAAAACTACAAAAAACTTATGTATCTTGAGCATAATTTAGATCTAAATAATGGAATGTTTAATATCTTATGGATTTTAGTCGAGTGTTTCAATGAAAGGGTATTTCTCTGTATAATCTTTTCATATAAATAATTGAAAAATTATATAAACATATCAATTAATTAAATATCAATTTAAGGGATAATGGTTAATTTGTCGCTTTAATAGTATAATATATTAAATAAAATATCCAATAATGATATGAATTTCACTCGTTTATGGCTGAGTTTTAAATTATACCCATTGGTATAAAATATTACTTAAAAATTATATATATATTTATATATTTCAATGAACTAAACAATTATTATATAACTATATAATATTTATAAATTCTCAGCAAATGTTATAAATTTCAAAATCTATTTCCGAAACAATTGTTTTTAAAAGAATGAAAAGCTTTAAAAACATATATAAAATAATTAAAAATGAATTTACTTATGTAAAGTAAACAGTAAATATTAAATTCAATATCTCTGTAGTATTTGTAAACTTAAATTTTAGTATATCTCTCAAGAATGATTTAAAACATTAAATTTAAAATTCTTGTCTCAATTGAAAATTAATGTTTTCATTTGTATATCTCTGAACACAATCCATAATTTAGTTAAAATATAAATTATTATTTAGAATAATATTTTCACTATAAATGACTTTTATATTAAGTAAATCTCAATCAATTAAAATATCATTTAAAATTATTATGGGATATAAATTTATAAATGTTATTGGACAAAACAATAAATAATAAATCCATAAAAAGCTAATTATCTTACTTTAGATAATTAAAATTCTCTTAAAAATTAAATAATTAATGAAATATAGTAGTAATTACAACCGATTGCATAGACAATAAACCACAGAAACATTTAATTAATATGAATCGACAAAACATTATCTCATTATAAGGAGTAATATGTTTAAAACAATCGGTGAAGAAATTGGTCCTTTTGTTTAGAGGTACTGACAGCTAAAACAGACTTTTATACAATATATAGTAAATGACCACCAATTATAACATTTATGAATAGCAAATAATTAGCTATTCTTTAGAATAACATCATAATTGATACAAATTGATATGTCTTTCTTGTAATGAAATTCTTGTTTTATATGATTTCCAAGAATTTGCTTATTTTATATCACTTTTCTTATCATTTGTTTAAATGAATGTATTTTCATAAGTGGAATGTTATGCATAAAACAAATGTGTTTTTCACAATAGGTTAGGTTATGAGCAATAAGAGGCACGGGCTGTACCCCCACAGCCAGAATTGAGGCTCAAAATGATTTTGATGTCCCTTTTATTTTGAATATATATTTTGTATTGTAAAGAGTTTTGTTTTGTAAATATTATTGAGAAGTCTATTGTAATTTTAGAAAACAACAGTACATTTCTTATTTTAACAGACTTTTTGGGTTAAAGTCGATTAAAATAATTAATTCATTAATACATTAATACTGCATAAGAATGCTTTTAGAGAACCAGAGATATGTCATCATTTGATAGTTTAGTTGTGTTTTGTATGAAACAATTTTTTGAATTAAGTTGAATATCATTGTCATTATATGTAAGTGCTCTCAAATATATATCATTCGCGCGAAATCTATTATATGGGGAGAAAAGAAACAATTATTTTAGTTTTAGTCCGAAATGAATTGAGAATTAATAATGTATTCTCTACCAGAGAAAATAAGTTAGACAATTTAATGGAGTGTTTGATAACATAATCAAAATGCAAATAATTTACGTAACAGATGGACAATGTTTTAATAAATGGTCATAAATCATATTTAATGCAATTTAATTATGTTCACCAAAAACAATGCATAAATAATATGAATGAAGAATTAAATAATAAATTAATTAAATTGACTTTTTAATGAATAATGAATATATCGAATACAGTAGAAGCTCTCAATTTGGTGGGGAATGGAAGGGAAAGGGTGAACACTATTGAGGGATTAAATTAAAGCATAAAATACAACCAGAATGTAATGAATTAAAAAAGCAAGTTTGCCATAAAATCCACTTTAATTGAACATCACTTTCATTCGTCAATTCATTTGATAAGTCATAGAGTCATACAGTTTGCTGAGAGAGTCTACTGTACTCTTAGGCATTAGATAGTGATGTGCACCAGAGGTGTCAGCATCGATATCATACCACACGATTCCTTATGCTTATGTGATTCATGGAATGGTATGGTATGGTATGGAATGGTATGTTAGTTATCTTACAGCAATGGTTTGTTGCGAGACTTCTCCCATTTTGTTCTTTGCGTATTCAATCCTCATTCCTCCCCGATCTGAAGAAAACAGAACATAAGCCTGAAGTGCATTCATTGCATGTGAGGCTAAGCGTACATCCTATGAGTAGGAGATTAAAGGATCACTTCAATCACTTGACACTTTCACCACTCAATGAAATAGGGCTCCCAACATACATAGGAGTCTGTGTTTTCTCAGTGTTTTGTTCAGGTTTATATATAGTTATAGCAAATCACAGTTTTTCGTAAATTACAAGTTTTACATATAAATCATAAATAGACTCAAAAGTGAAATCAAACAAATAAAAACAAAAACACGATTTTCTACTTAATTATAGAATTGAGAGCTCATTCGATAAGAAGATCAGTTGAGGGATGGGAGGAGAGAGTGAGGAGGAGAGCGAGAGAGAGAGAGACAGGAGAGAGAGAGAGAGACGGGAGAGAAAGTGTGTGTTTGTGGGAGAGAGTGGTGTATGAGGTGTATGTGTGTGTGGAGTGCACTACAGAGAGTACAATGAGTGAAATGGTGGTAATGGTAGTAGAGGTAGTGGTGATAGTAGTGGTAGTAATGGTAGAGTAGTAGTGATATGAAATGGTAGTATACCGTGTACTCGACGAACGCAACAGGTGCTCCTCCCTTGTTATGCATCCTTAAGCGACAAAATCCTGGGAAACTGTTCAACACATGATATAGACATGACATACGATAATGATATATATGGAGGCTTTTAAGCATTAAAATAGAGTGTATGTTAAGCTTAATATTGGTTGACGCTATACCTCCCGAACAGTTCTTTGAGTTCTTGCTCTGAGACAAATTGTCCCAAATTGGCTACAAATAGTGTAGAGCATGGAGGGGTTGAACAGTTGGGTGATGTGGCCGAACCAACTGGACTGGCTAAAGCAGGACTAGTGGCCACTAAATGCTGCGGTGGTATAGCTGCATGAATTGCTGCCTGATTGGCCAGGGCTGCCGCGTGACTGATTGGATGTGGTACTGCCAACTGTGGCTACAGTAAGATATATTGAGATAACAGTGCATCAGACTAGAGAACTCGTATATTGTGTGAGTGTGACTGATATAAACTCATACTATATGAGCTAGCTCATAGCTATATATAGCTACTATAACTACTACTATAGCACTCATACTATACTATACTCGCAAATCACTGCAATTCTAACTCTCTATTAAAACAATCCATTCTTATTAATCATTCTATAATTGATTTGCTATTGCATTGAATTAATTGTAATGTTTTTTAATTTGCCTGAAAGACATGGCATGCAATCTATAGTCAGTTATTGCCAAATGAGACCCAAAGGAGTTGTAAATAATGTAAATCGTTATAATAGAGATGACAGACAATACAGCGATTGTCAACACAAACACAACACACATCTCAAACACTAAACACTACTAAACATATAGCGCTCTATAATACAGATTCTGTACGAATAGACTACTATTGCCTCGAATGTATGTATGAAAGTGTCATTTCAGGGGCACTAAAATTGATTGTTTCGCCAATAAATTAAGGAAAAGCTTTTATGAATTAACCAACACTTCATCACAATTACTACAAAAGAGACATCAAAGTGCTGCAAAACTCACACAACTGTGTGATAATGAGAATGACTCAAACATTAAATTGTTTTTTGTCTGAATAATTAGGTTAGTGTTCAAGTGTTAGAGATCAACGATTCGCGTCTAGTCATCACAATCTCATCAGTTTTTTCATCAAAACTTTAAACATTTTATTTATTTTTATCATTCAATTTTGATTTTAACATATAATTTATATTCGTTATATTAAATAATATTTTGCACAAAATTAAGATTATTAATTAAATGTTTATACGTAATAAACAATATTATATAGTATATTGTATAATGATTTTTATATTAATATTTCTTGAGAATATGTAATATTGTAAATGTATTTCAATTAACATAAACTTTACACAAAATGGTAAAACTGAATAATATTATATCTTTTTTACATGTATTCCAGTCAATAGAATATTCTAGAAGTTGTCTCTAAATTCATTTGTTATACAATTTCTAATACAATTTCACCAATCTCTATGCAATTCATATATTGTATGATAATAAAGCAGTATNTAATATTATATCTTTTTTACATGTATTCCAGTCAATAGAATATTCTAGAAGTTGTCTCTAAATTCATTTGTTATACAATTTCTAATACAATTTCACCAATCTCTATGCAATTCATATATTGTATGATAATAAAGCAGTATCGATATAATTTTATGCCAAAAATAGGTGGTATATAATAATAATGGACTGTATCATAGCATTTATGATAAACTTTGAGTTGTTTATGAAAAAACTTTTTTATGGACTAATATTTAATTTGTTTATGGACTGAATATGGTTATAATAATATGATATATTTGGTTGTATAGACAATACTATAGTCAATACCAACTAACCGGTAACTGGGCGTGAAGTGCCGGATGAATGACGTGAGAATTGAAAGCGTTGGGCATTTCAGTGAACGACAAGGGATGGTGAGCCCAGCCGTCGTGCGCCCCCGAGAAGAGAGCGGCACCCAATTCAACTGAATCACACAAATACAGCAATGAATACACGGTTTTGTTGTGAATGGCAACGAAATAATGATTGATATATATACGTGAGATATAGTTTTGATTAATGTTTGAAAAGTCTCGCTTACGGCCTGTCAGTGGATGCATAGCCAGCGCTGGATGTGTGGCCACGGCTGGTGGGGACGACTGTTGCTTAGGTTTACTCACTTTGGTATTGCTTTTGGCAAATTCCAAGCGAATCGTTTGCGGCAAATCGGGATCGAAGCGAATTCCCTGCTATTTAGACGTCAAACAAATATATATTTTTATTAACAAATCATCGACAGCTCATCGCAAAAAATAGACGAAAAATTAATTGAAAAAATGACTGATGAAAAGGGATGCGACAAAGTAGGCATATAAACAGAGCTTAACCCACACAGACATCAATAAAAATTAAGAAACACTGCCTTTTATTTTTAGTGAACTAACGCTTCTCTAAGAGTTATACAGAATATATATAAAAAAGTTTTTACAAAACAATTTATATTAGGAGTTAAGCTTTTGTGTGAAATCCTTTTGGGACGTCAACTAAAATGACAAATAGATTGAGTGCCGAAGCCTTGCTCGCAGTGACTTACTTGCAAATCTTGTTTGGCCGCCTCAGCACCGGCACGGGTAGAGAAGGTTACAAAGCCGACGGGCTGTCACACAAAACACAACAATCAGTTTAAACTCAGCCGTAATAAATAAAAATGTCTTTTTATTAATATGTCGTATATATCAAAGTGTGCGTCAATTGTGTGCCCAAACACTATGGACTAATACTTACGGATGAAGTCTTGCCGTTTTTAGACGTCACCTTCAATAGAGAGCCTTCGTATCCCTACAACCATATCAACAATACATTCAACGTTTAAATTATGAACATAAATGAACGCAAAATTGTCTTTCAATCAAAATTTATTTTACATCCAATTTTAAAAATCAATAAAATTGTTTCTTCACTTCACTCTTATATGTCTTATAACTCCTAAATAAAACTCTTTTGTCGTTGAAGTGAATATTCATTTTGATGTTTAGCTCATATTGTGCTTAAGGTTATGAAAATCAAAATAAGGCTCCATTAAGATAGTCAAAGATTTTGGATTAAAATGTGACGGTTGTATACTTATATATCATATTTTGTTAAATGTTAAATCAGTCCTATATTCAATTTAACCAATATTTTCTTATCCTACTTTGAAAACAGTATTTTCATATTCTGTTATTAACACTGAATAAGTACTAAAAAAGTCGAGTTATGCAAAATTGTAGTGTATGTCCGAACTTTATTTATTGTACATATTTTGAGATTAGCATTGATTTAGGCGATAATTAATAAATGTATGGTTTTTGAATATCTCATGAGTCGTTTTGCATTTATTTATTCATTTTAAGTGCTTATGTGAATGTAAATTATGAGAAAACAGTGTAAACTATAATTTATAATAATACTACACTGAACTGCAATATACGGTATGGCATGGCATGAGATGCTGTGCACTGGTATTGCGATTACATTATGCCCAGACTTATATTACCATATCTTAAAACCAATTTGTGTTGTAAAGTAACAATTGAACAGACATATTTACTACACGAAAATAACTTTAAACATAATACTTACGTATATAAATATTCACATTTTGGCGATGTCTTGTTGTATACCTTATAAGCTCTGAAGAGTAGATATAATTCTCTGGGCTTTGCGTCCATCGGTAAACCGCTCACAAACAGTGTTCTCACCTGAAAATACATACAATAAAAACAATATAAGTTATGGTATTCAATGCATCATTATATACATATAGAATAAAAATACATATAAAACTATACATCTATATATTTCAATAATTTATTTCATAAAAAAGTTTTGTTTATAAAAATAGACCGCAATTTCTATGGAAACGTAAAAATATCTATTCTATTGTGATATTTAATAAATAAAGAAAATAATGATCCGAACCGTAAAAATACAGAGAAATAAAAGAGAAAATTCATTTAAATACGAAGACATGGTATGCCTGGTATTAGGCGCTTGCTAATGTAATACGGGTCTGAATATAATGGTATAGAATTTTGGTTAAACACAACATTTCATTGTTAACTTGTCTGTATAAATGATGTGCTTTTATTGAAATTTGTATTATGAATGCATATATTTATAGATCATTTTTGGCGATGTCTTGTTGTATACCTTATAAGCTCTGAAGAGTAGATATAATTCTCTGGGCTTTGCGTCCATCGGTAAACCGCTCACAAACAGTGTTCTCACCTGAAAATACATACAATAAATACAATATCAGTTATGGTATTCAATGCATCATTATATACATATACCGTTAGAATACATATAAAACTATACATCTATATATTTCAATAATTTATTTCATAAAAAAGTTTTGTTTATAAAAATAGACCGCAATTTCTATGGAAACGTCAAAATATCTATTCTATTGTGATATTTAATAAATAAAGAAAATAATGATCCGAACCGTAAAAATACAGAGAAATAAAAGAGAAAATTCATTTAAATACGAAGACATGGTATGCCTGGTATTAGGCGCTTATCATTAATAATAATATATTTTATAAGACTTTTATTGATTATTATTTGAATCAAAACTAATATTTTATTACTTAAAGCGGAACTTGTCTTCTCGTAAATTCAATACAATATTTCTCTGACTTTCCGCTCGTATTCTCTAATAATTTCGTAATTTAATTAAAACACAAAACGTTTAGTTAATTAATATGTTATTGCGAATGTGGTTGCTTTTCATACATTTAATTCATGTTCAATGCAATAATTCAATCAATCTTTTGACATTTCTAAATAAAATGGTTAAAAATTTCTACTTAACACAAATTTGAATTGACTTTTCATTGCGAAGAATAGAAAGATATACCAAAAGGATAGAGTAAATTACATTTATATTTAACATAGTTTTCTTGTTTAACAACAAAATAACTTATAATCTTGTAATTGGAGGTATAGTTCACTCTTAGAATTAATTTTCAAACAAAGCGATAAAATCTGTTTTTGATGTTAAGGTTTACTATAATTTTATCATATGAGAGAAGAAAGTTGGCTTAAATTAAGAGATGAGAGAGAGAGAGAGAGAGAGAGCACAGCATACTAAACGCGCCCATACTATCAACCGTTAACATTTCAAACATTAAAACTAGTCATCCCATTCCCATTCCCT